GTAATGGACCGGTACAGTCACCTAGAGGAGGACAGTAGGGGACCGGTACAGTCACCTAGAGGAGGACAGTAGATGACCGGTACAGTCACCTAGAGGACAGTAGGGGACCGGTACAGTCACCTAGAGGAGGACAGTAGGGGACCGGTACAGTCACCTAGAGGAGGAGAGTAGGGGACCGGTACAGTCACCTAGAGGAGGACAGTAGGGGACCGGTACAGTCACCTAGAGGACAGTAGGGGACCGGTACAGTCACCTAGAGGAGGACAGTAGGGGACCGGTACAGTCACCTAGAGGAGGACAGTAGGGGACCGGTACAGTCACCTAGAGGAGGACAGTAGGGGACCGGTACAGTCACCTAGAGGACAGTAGGGGACCGGTACAGTCACCTAGAGGACAGTAGGGGACCGGTACAGTCACCTAGAGGAGGACAGTAGGGGACCGGTACAGTCACCTAGAGGAGGACAGTAGGGGACCGGTACAGTCACCTAGAGGAGGACAGTAGGGGACCGGTACAGTCACCTAGAGGAGGAGAGTAGGGGACCGGTACAGTCACCTAGAGGAGGACAGTAGGTACACAACCAGCTCAGTCATTGTTCTGTCACTTTAGTTCTGTCGCATTGGTTTGTCATTTTAGTAGTTTTGTCACATGACTTATGTCACTTTAGTTCTGTCACTTTAGATTTGACTGAGGCTTGAAATAATTTTAGTTGGTCTGACTTTTTAAAAAACCCAACTTGACCTCAGCACGACCTTTGACCTCCCATGGAGCGTATGCTGTACCTACCGTCGTGTCCAATGGGAATGGTGTTGTTGTTGTCGTAGTTGCCGAAGATGCCGCCGCTGCCTGCCGAGTACTTGTCAACCAGGTACTGCCAGAACCAGCTGCCTGAGGTGTTCACGTAGTAAATGCCAACCCAGCCCGGGCTGCCATTTTGGAACTGGGATTCTCTGGGGAAAGCAATTTCTAGGGGTAAGCTAGACTACGAATTACAGGGAGTAGGGGAGGGGGCAATAAGGTAGGAGTCACTGCCTGCAGGCATTGATTTGTTGTCAGAACATGTATCTCGTTTGACCTGTTTAGATGATTTCTTTGAATACTTGCGAATAATTATATAACGTAGTTTGTCAGCTGATTGGGCGTCCTGCACAACTGGTTAGGACTACTACTTGATTCTACGGTCAAACAACTGGTTAGGGCTACTACTTGATTCTACGGTCAAACAACTGGTTAGGGTTACTACTTGATTCTACGGTCAAACAACTGGTTAGGGCTACTACTTGATTCTACGGTCAAACAACTGGTTAGGGCTACTACTTGATTCTACGGTCAAACAACTGGTTAGGGCTACTACTTGATTCTACGGTCAAACAACTGGTTAGGGCTACTACTTGATTCTACGGTCAAACAACTGGTTAGAGCTACTACTTGATTCTACGGTCAAACAACTGGTTAGGGCTACTACTTGATTCTACGGTCAAACAACTGGTTAGGGCTACTACTTGATTCTACGGTCAAACAACTGGTTAGGGTTACTACTTGATTCTACGGTCAAACAACTGGTTAGGGCTACTACTTGATTCTACGGTCAAACAACTGGTTAGGGCTACTACTTGATTCTACGGTCAAACAACTGGTTAGGGCTACTACTTGATTCTACGGTCAAACAACTGGTTAGGGCTACTACTTGATTCTACGGTGAAACAACTGGTTAGGGCTACTACTTGATTCTACGGTCAAACAACTGGTTAGGGTTACTACTTGATGTCGAACTGCATTAGGAGCATCCCCTGCCGTTGTGTGACCCGGCTCTCTTATGACGACTATGGGACCTACATTTGTTTTAAGACCACCCTACACTAGGGACACAGTGGGCCGCTACATTTGATGACTACACTGAACCAGCGGTCACCCCCTGCGTTAATGTGATCGGCGGCTACCTGGACGCCATGCGAGGCCCCTCACACCCGGGCTGTCGACAATTGTGTTGTACCTAACTACTACGGAGTGGGACTAACGCACTAGGACTAGATCGCAGCTACGCGCGACGGTCAAGCTGGTATATACTCAAATGCAACTCGTAAATATGAGCTATTTTTCCAGGCTGCGAAAAAACTGTTGAAATCTGTTGATACTGCTGGTCTATGGCATTGTTTCTCACAAGCAGCATGACCTACGTCACCAACAAAAAGCTAACCCTAGCTGATACACGTCAAGTAACGCTAACTAACACAGTTAACACACGTTAACTAAAGCCAACCTGAAATTTTTGTAAGCCGTGTTTTCGGCGTCACTTGAAATGACGACCAGTCCGCCGCCATCTTGTAGACAAGCGTCCTGTGCTGCATGCCAGTCCAAGGTGGCGCTTGACGTCTTGTAGCAGAAGCCGCTGACGTCCGTGTAGTTAGTGGGGCAGGTGCTCTCTACAGCTGGGGGACAAGGGAGCCAGCAGTTACAACTAGACAACTATATATACAAAATATCTTCATGCGGGGTGTGACACCAACTGTCATCACATTGGCTACCACCCAACCAAGTGTCACCACTGACTAAATCGAATTGTGTTTATGTATGCAGACAGCCCAAAGTTATGTAACAAACTTGCCATTTGTATGCACAGGCCCACTGTAAAAACAATACTTGTTATGTAATGTACTGTCTAATGTAATATAAACAGCTCAAACTGAATCTGTGTCTCTATATGTAAGAGCACATGTATCTAGTAAAAAAATCAACTTGATCGTTAGTTATTCTTAAAGTGTTTGTTATTTCATGTTTAAGAAAAATTAATATCAATGGTTTTGTAATAACAAGTTTCATTTTCCAAATTTATCATTTCAATGCCTTTTATTTATTTTATACACTGAACGTACTGTTTACTAAGTATTATTTATAATCAATAACAGTTTAGAAGACGCCCCAAAATGCCCTCTTTGTTTACTTCTATCTTTAAGTTGGCAGACAAGCTTGGGGTATTGTATTCGTTCACTAAATGGAATCAGGCGCATTCGCCGGCGCCCCAGCAGGGTACGATTGGCACCCCGGGTTATGCTGTGAGATCTATGGTGCATACGTTCGGTTACTATAGTCCTTTACTAAATCGAATCTAGGGTATCCTCCGGCGCCCCGACAGAGTGCTATTTAGCGCCCCGGGCCTTCCGAGAGCGCTATGGCGCCAAGATTCGTTTAACTGAGTGCAATAGAATATGGATAAGATGGGGTATTTTAGTCGTTTACTAAGTTGAAACAGGCGGGTCCGCCGGTGTCCCGGCAGAATACGATTTGGCGTCTTGGGCTATACTATGAGCACTATGCGTTTAGGTTCATGTTTATGTATGCGTTTAAGTTTGTGTTTATGTCCGCGTTTAATTTTATCTTATTTTCTGAGTTATTGTTTGCGTTTAGGTTAGCGTTTCCGCTTTTTTTTTCTATTTGTATTTGCATTTGTGTGTATGTTTACTTTTGTGTTTATTTCGGTTTTTGTTTGCGTTTGCTTTTGTGTTTGTATATTGGTTTGGGTTGTTTGTGGTTAGTGATAAGTTTAAAGTTTGGTTAAGGTTATGTGTTATTTCTAAATCGTTCATACCGGGTATATGTTGCTTAATAAACACACACACCTATACACAGAGGCCAGTGCAATGCCTGGCCGGGGCGGCTAGTATTAAATATTTTTTACAACGGGGGCGATAAAAACTAAAAATTAATGACCAAGAACAATTAGATTTCAAACTAGAAGACATTACTCACACAAAAGTGCATTATACTTGTGGAAAAGCTATTGATACTGGCTTAATTATAGTCTTGGAGGTGGTACCTCCGACACAAGTATTACGTGTCAACTAGTTGACTACAGCTTCAGCCTGCTTTTCTTTTTGGATTTGCTTCCATAGCCTTTGTCCAACCAAGAACAAACTACAAGGCAGCAGTTGTTTGATTTGCTTCCATAGCCTTTGTCCAACCAAGAACAAACTACAAGGCAGCAGTTGTTTGATTTGCTTCCATAGCCTTTGTCCAACCAAGAACAAACTACAAGGCAGCAGTTGTTTGATTTGCTGCCATAGCCTCTGTCCAACTAAGAACAAACTACAAGGCAGCATTTGTTTGATTTGCTGCCATAGCCTTTGTCCAACCAAGAACAAACTACAAGGCAGCAGTTGTTTGATTTGCTTCCATAGCCTTTGTCCAACCAAGAACAAACTACAAGGCACCAGTTGTTTGATTTGCTTCCATAGCCTTTGTCCAACCAAGAACAAACTACAAGGCAGCAGTTGTTGGATTTGCTTCCATAGCCTTTGTCCAACCAAGAACAAACTACAAGGCAGCAGTTGTTTGATTTGCTTCCATAGCCTTTGTCCAACCAAGAACAAACTACAAGGCAGCAGTTGTTTGATTTGCTGCCATAGCCTCTGTCCAACTAAGAACAAACTACAAGGCAGCATTTGTTTGATTTGCTTCCATAGCCTTTGTCCAACCAAGAACAAACTACAAGGCAGCAGTTGTTTGATTTGCTTCCATAGCCTTTGTCCAACCAAGAACAAACTACAAGGCACCAGTTGTTTGATTTGCTTCCATAGCCTTTGTCCAACCAAGAACAAACTACAAGGCAGCAGTTGTTGGATTTGCTTCCATAGCCTTTGTCCAACCAAGAACAAACTACAAGGCAGCAGTTGTTTGATTTGCTTCCATAGCCTTTGTCCAACCAAGAACAAACTACAAGGCAGCTGTTGTTTGATTTTGGAGTTGTCTCTCTTAGATGAGTGGCTGTCTCCAGCAATCGAGCCTCATCTGCCCGAGGGTTCAAATTCGGGAGAAAATTAGAACATTTTACAATTTTAGAATCCTGATCGCGTTGATCGTATTTTGTTATCAAATTCGAAAAATAAATATTATTGGCTGTTATTGCTACATACAGTAAAAAAATGTACTATAATGCTCACTGTTTAGTGCACTTTAACATTTTATAATAATAAATAAATGAGTTGAAACAAATTATAAGGTAAATCAGACCCCATGAAACTTCAGATGCGCTTTTTTTTTTTCAAAACTAAATTTTGAGAGATAGAACAAGATAACACTAGGGGGACGATATACAGTGTAGTTTTTTTGGCAATCTGGACTAGTGGCGGATTAAGTGTGAGGGGAGGGGGGAGAGGGCTGCAGTAGGGGCCCCGATTTTAGGGGTCCCCAAATTTCTTTTTCAAAACATAGTAATATCCATTACAAAGTGAAATTGTTTGGTTTTTATTTTCTTAAAAAATGATGCTTTATATTCGAATCACAAGCTTATTTCATTTTTTTAAATATCAAACACTAGTACACACTAGAGTAAAAATACCAGCTGTCATCACCTCCTCCCCGGACATTGTTTACGTACAGCCGACACTCCCTAAAATAAATAGTCCTGACAGCGTTCGCTTATGACAATAATAAACCGGGAGTGATCTCCTCTAAACTTTCTCGAATATTCTTATATAACACTACGGGGGATGGCAACTCGCGAAATAGACAATATTGTTAATCCATTTTAATTACTTAAACTTTTTATAATAGAATAGAATCCCGTAGAAAAAAGAATTGCACACCAAGTGAATGCCAAACAAAATGTGTATAATAGTGCGGAAAATTATTAGTACTTTATAAATTCACATGCGTTTTTTGAGAAATCGGAAATAGCGTAAATGAGTACTTCCTGTCAACAGTCATTACACAAAATTTGATAGATGGAAAAGAATTAGATCTTTTACTTACATATGAAATTTCATGTATATATCTTTAATCGTACTCAAGTTATATGCTTTTGAAAAAGTGAAAGTGGAAAAAGTTCCACTTCCGGTTATCGGAAATCGCTGAAAAGTTGATACATATCAACAAATTTGCTATAATACTTAAATATGAAATTTCATTAACTTAGCTGTAACGGTACTCAAGTTATCGTATTCACAGACACACACACAGACTCACACACATACATACACAGACATAGGACAAGATTGCAAAACTATGTTTTTCCGACTCAGGAAGGTGTAAAACGTCGAGATTTGCAAAAATCTCGATTATTATTTTTTTGCACAATTACAATACTTTCTCTATACTTCGTATACGAAAAAGTAAAAATGGGTTGATTTTAGAGTTAAAAACACAAACATCGGCTGAATTCTGACAAATGAGTTTATGATTGACGCCTCTTAAAAAATGTACAACAATTGAAAGTTATTCAGTCAGATAGGGTCTATATTTTGAATTAGCTCTCACTCGCAAGCATTCAGACAAGCAGCATTATAGACTAAAAATGACAGACCGTCTTTGCTTACCCGCTACGCTACTAAGAAAGGTATGAAAGATATTTAACATTTTTGTTATTGGAAGTGAGGTTTTGGATAGTGATGCTGTTTATGTATATGAGCTTCTAAGGGCCTGAAGTAAACAGATATATATATATATATATATATATATATATATATATATATATATATATATATATATATATGTATCAAAAAGTTTCAGCCCGGGGCCCCGCCCTAGCTTCAACCGCCCCTGATCTGGATCAGTATGGAATTCGTATCACTCTCATTTCGCTTAACTGGGAATCGCGGGAACACGATAAAATCATTTTAGATGAGGAAATTTGTGTTGACTAGAAATATTGGATTTGATCGTAAAAGAGAAGAGAAAAATTAGTTTTTTTTTGTCTAGTCTTAGTTCCATGTAATTTTAGGCTGTCTTTCTAGCTGTAGAAAGTAGGGCCTACACGTAGTTGCCTACACGTGGGAAACGTAGGGGCTACACATAGGGGCCTACACGTAGCGTGTTTTGGAAGGTACTAAGGTGCTAACAAAACCACTCAACTTCATGAAAAAATAGATCTCTATGTTTTGTTTGGTAAACTTTACCGCTCTCAAAGCAGAATTGGAGTCGGTGACCGGTGAATGCGTTCTAGGCGATGCAGGTCAAAAGTCCCCACCGCCACACACAAGATTAGCAATAGCTAGAATGATTGCGTTGTGACCTGGATTTTATCATTTTACCACTCCCCATTTCCGATTATCCTTTTGTTCTTCTATGTTTTTAAGTTTGTAAAGTTTGTAAAGCTTTTCTAAATTTTATACATACATTTTACCATATCATCAATATCGAGGGGATTAGACGATTCCGTGACAACAACGTGACAACAACGTGACAACAACGTGACAACAACGTGACAACAACGTGACAACATCGTGAAAACAAGGCGACAACAAGGCGACAACAACGCGACAAAAACGTGACAACAACTTGGCCACTTACCGACAAAGTACAGAAGCAAACAAAGAGATCTAACACACATTGCTCAAGCCAGCGTTGCCAGTAATGCCACTCTGTTAGTACAGGTAATGCCACTCTGCCAGTACAGGTAGTGTCACTCTGCCAGTAAGGTAATGCCACTCTGCTAGTACAGGTAATGCCACTCTGCCAGTACAGGTAGTGTCACTCTGCTAGTACAGGTAATGCCACTCTGCCAGGTGCTGGTGGGATAGCGAGTCGCAGAGCTGTGATTGATCAGGGAGTTAGGGGTGGGAGAGGAGAGCGTCTCATTGAAACGTCAGATCATAGGCGTATCGGTCTTACAACTGGGCTAATGTTGTTTTACAGCTGGGCTAATGCTGTCTTACAGCTGGGCTAATGCTGTCTTACAACTGGGCTAATGCTGTCTTACATCTTGTCTTACAGCTGGGCTAATGCTGTCTTACATCTTGTCTTACAGCTGGGCTAATATTGTCTTACAGCTGGGCTAATATTGTCTTACAGCTGGGCTAATGTTGTCTTACAGCTGGGATAATGCTGTCTTACAGCTGGGCTAATGCTGTCTTACATCTTGTCTTACAGCTGGGCTAATACTGTCTTACAGCTGGGCTAATGCTGTCTTACATCTTGTCTTACAGAAGGGCTAATGTTGTTTTACAGTTGGGCCACTGCTGTCTTACATCTTGTCTTACAGCTGGGCTAATGCTGTCTTACAGCTGGGCTAATGCTGTCTTACATCTTGTCTTACAGCTGGGCTAATATTGTCTTACAGCTGGGCTAATGCTGTCTTACATCTTGTCTTACAGCTGGGCTAATATTGTCTTACAGCTAGGCTAATATTGTCTTACAGCTGGGCTAATGCTGTCTTACAGCTGGGCTAATATTGTCTTACATCTTGTCTTACAGCTGGGCTAATATTGTCTTACAGCTGGGCTAATGTTGTCTTACAGCTGGGCTAATGCTGTCTTACATCTTATCTTACAGCTGGGCTAATGCTGTCTTACATCTTGTCTTTCAGCTGAGCTAATGCTGTCTTACAGCTGGGCTAATGTTGTCTTACATCTTGTCTTACAGCTGGGCTAATATTGTCTTACAGCTGGGCTAATATTGTCTTACAGCTGGGCTAATGTTGTCTTACAGCTGGGCTAATGTTGTCTTACAGCTGTGCTAATGCTGTCTTACATCTTGTCTTACAGCTGGGCTAATGCTGACTTACATTTTGTCTTACAGCTAGGCTAATGTTGTCTTACATCTTGTCTTACAGCTGGGCTAATATTGTCTTACAGCTGGGAAAATGTTGTCTTACATCTTGTCTTACAGCTGGGCTAATGTTGTCTTACAGCTGGGCTAATGCTGTCTTACATCTTGTCTTACAGCTGGGATAATGCTGTCTTACATTTTGTCTTACAGCTGGGCTAATGTTGTCTTACAGTTGGGCTAATGCTGTCTTACATCTTGTCTTACAGCTGGGCTAATGTTGTCTTACAGCTGGGCTAATGCTGTCTTACATCTTGTCTTACAGCTGGGCTAATGTTGTCTTACAGCTGGGCTAATGCTGTCTTACATCTTGTCTTACAGCTGGGCTAATGTTGTCTTACAGCTGGGCTAATTTTGTCTTACAGCTGGGCTAATGTTTAAACTTTTGAGTGCGCCCCCCCCCCCCCCCCGTGTCGCACCACCTCTGGCTCATGTTACACGTGAGGCTATGGGAGGTGACGTGTTGACTCGGGGCGACTCAGCGCCCAGCACGCACGCCTTTGTTGGTTGTCAAAACACAAAAATCCATTTTTTGATTCGTGCCTCAGCTGCTGGGGTCAAGATTTTAAGTTTTTCATTAGCTTTGAGTGGATTTAGCAAGTGTCATATAAGTGTTGTTAGCATTAAGCAAGTTTGGCATGTCAGATAATGTTTAAATGTTGAATAAATTTTTACAGTTTTTCAATTAAGCTTTTATTGAAGAAACAATATCTCTCTATGTGTAGCAAATGTTGTCAATTATTTTAGAAGCATCCCCAATCCTGCAATTATTTTAGAAGCATCCCCAATCCTGCAATTATTTTAGAAGCATCCCCAATCCTGCAATTTACATATAAATTTGTATCGGATGATAAAGCGAGAGTAGGGGCTATCATTAGTTCAGTCTCATGACGTTTAGTATCTGCAATTAATTTTAAGATAATTAGACTCAACTCCAATGTTGGTCGATAAAGTGAGAAAAAGATTCCACAAGCGACCAATGTTTGAACCCAACAGAGCTTTCTCCTTTAATTCAAGTGCTTTTAAAGCTGATCGTTATAACGGTTTCTATACTTGTTTTATTTCAATTATAGTTAGATCTATATAATTAGCAATACATAATTATTTATAAATATATTTTTCTTTTGTTGAAGAGTATTTATAAAAGCTTGTTATTTTAAACATTTTTATAAATCTAGTTTCTACAAGCTTTAAGTTAACTTATTTTATCTATCGTAATTTCTGTCGTCATAGATCGAAACTGCAGTGCAAAATTTCGAGCACTTGTAACTGACCTATTCGTTTCAAACTTGGCACGTGGGTCCGATGTTTCTTCCAGAATTTTATTTCTCCGGGGGGCACTTGAAATTTTTGGAGGGTGGGTGGTGGGGGTGGGGGGGGGGTGGGGAGGGTCAAGACCCGACGAAAATACATAATGACATCAAACTTAACTTAATAGTATGACCAATTAATTTTTTATGAACTAAGATTTTCTTAAATTATTAGGGTGTCCTACTATTATTCCGCACTGTTATACGCAATTATTATGTTCATTTGGTACGAAATAGTTTTTAGTCATAAAACTACTGTACTACTCATTTTAAAGTACTGAAAAAAAATGCATATAAAACGTTTCAATAACAATATGTTATGTAAAAAAAAAAGACTAAAAAGGAGGAAAATAATTATTTTCTGTATATATATATATATATATATATATATATATATATATATATAATATATATATATAATAACTAGATAAATGGCCCGTTGAGGGAGAAATACAACGGGCGCTTGGTTGATAGTGTTGACTTTTTCTCTAAATTGAAACCCAAACCAAAAGCCCCGCCTCAATCTCAAATTTAACCGGAACGAAAATGTCACTGAAAGCGGATTTTTATCCAGAATCGGCATTTTATCCGAATCCATAAATGTAACTTGAAATAAAACACCTTATAACCCTAATCTTAATCCTGATACTAAAGCTTAGTATATATATATATATTACTTTTCCGAGATATTTGAAAAATGTAGATTAACTTTTATATATATATATATATATATATATATATATATATATATATATAATATATATATATATATATATATATATATATATATATATATATTAGCTGCATACCTGTGCTCCGCCACGGTAAATCTTTTTAAATGTACCAACTTGGAACAGAACAAAACACAACACAAACACAAAAGAAAAACAAACACAATGCAAACACAAACGAAAACACAAATGCAACACACAAACACAAAAGAAAAAACAAACGCAAATAAAAACACAACTGAAAACACCAACACAACGCAAACACAAACGCAAAAAAAACACAAACGAAAAAAAAACACAACACTCATACATAAACACAACTTAAATAGTTAACCCGGGTGACTAATCGTCAACTGCCGCGGCGCCGAAGGTCGCGCCTGATTCTATATAGTCAACGGTTATTGTTGCCTATCGTGTCTTTAGTGTAATCCTTTTTTAAACGAACGTATGTGCCATAGTGCTTGCAGTGTTTCTTCCAGACTTTTTTCTCCGGGGGGGGGGGGGGGCACTTGAAATTTTCGGGGGGGGGGGGGGGGGGCGGTAAACTTTCTTCGGGGGGGGGGGGGGCGGACACTGTTAAAAGTATATATTTTCTATATAAATTATATAAATTTCATTTCGTTCGGGGGGGGGGGGGGGGGGCGGTAAACATTTTTTCGGGGGGGGGGGGGGGCTTTGCCCCCCCCCCCCCCGAAGAGATGCCTGGAAGAAACTCTGAGTGCTTGCAGGGAAGCCCTGGGCGATTCTGGTCATGCAATCACCGGGGCGCCGGCTGATGCACCTCTTGCAGTTTCACCGCTGAATCAAGTAGTACACCTGAACCTCAGGACGTCCAATCAACGGATACCAAGTTATAAGATAGCCGTTCTGGAAATCTGGGCGCCAAACAGTATATTGTGAAAATTCGCACCCTCCCGGGGCGCCACCCCTAAGAAATTGTTTCCTTTTTTTTTTTTGCAGAAATTTTCTTGAGAGTATTCTCATCCGCTCCCACAAGTTTCATGGCACTCGGATGACCGGTGTCTAACAGCATCCAACTTTACTTTCTTATATACAGAGTTTCTTCCAGGCATCTCTTTCCCCCCCCCCCCCCCCCCGAACGAAATGAAATTTATATAATTTATATAGAAAATATATACTTTTAACAGTGTCCGCCCCCCCCCCCCCGAAAAAAGTTTACCGCCTCCCCCCCCCCCCCCGAAAATTTCAACTGCCCCTTGGAGAAAAAAGTCTGGAAGAAACACTGCTTAT